CTCTGGTTAAGAGGGCAAGCAAGAGCCCTAACAGCCCACTTTACGTATTTGGGCTTTCAAGGTTCTGCAGATGGATTTTCACAGCAGGCTCATGGTCTGGGATGGGGCTGTCTTTCCTGCAGGCAGGTGGGGAATCACTCACACATTCCAGCCTGTTTGCCAGCCTGCACGGAGGTAGGGCTATGTTGGAAGCCAAATACATTACCACAGGTGAAAATATAACATAAGCCGACTTGCACACTTTCCTTGGGTGAGACCTATACCAGCTGCTGAGCAAAATAAAGAGCTCCTTTGTGGATAAGGCCACCTCTGTGCCACCCACAGCCTGTAGGACTAGTAGGTTTGATGCTGGCTCTGAACTTCAGGTCAAAGAGGGCAGGCTCTTCAAAGGTAAAGATGGGACTATCTAAAGCTTAAAAGTGAGCATAAGCTTGGATGTTTCATGTGCACTCATGTTGTAATTCACTTGGTATCTTCTGTACGGGCTTTAAGGGTATTAAAACATTGAAATACTTCTGTAATAGTTCGCAGCCGGCCACTGCCCCAGACCCTCCAGGATCTGCTGGACTTCCTGGTTATCCAGCAACTGAAGGGTTGGTGTCTGGAACAGCAGGGGGCCTCTGGCTTCCGCATGGCGGCCTGTGTCCATTTAATCAGTCAGTGCCCATGCAGGACAAGTCATTAAATATTGTGAATGTCACTGCTGTGTGTATCTGCGCTAAAATCTTAGAAGGGGTGCCAAGTGGGTAGGCCTACCAAACTCTCAGAACTTCTTCCCATTGAGGGTTTTCACCAGGGCACACTCCGCCCTCTTCCCTGCTGCAGGCACTCCTAGGGGGTGGAAAGCGAGTCCACAAGCGTTCCCCTTTAAGTAGCTGTCACACGGCACCCTGCCCCCAGTGTTAGTATCCAGGAAGTTTGGTCCTGCCAGGTGAGCAGGGACTCGACCCAACATTAAAACTCTCTCTTGTTTTGTTTTTCTTTTTTCTTCCTTCTTTACCCTGCCTAAACTCATAGAAGAGCTTGCTGGAATTCAGAAGAAGCCAAGGAAGAATTCTCTGGTGCAAAGAAGCAGTCTCAGTGAGACAAATGGCCTTTCATATTCCCTGCGGCACTGTTTCAAAGCAACCAACACGGATGTTCAACTTAGGAACAAACATGAATCACCAGCCAGACACCAGCCCCAGTCACAGCAAAATTAACGGACAGACATCACAATACGTCCCACAGATCCAGGGTGGGAAGAGGAGGGTGGGCAAGGGGGAGACGGAGGACAGACTTAACCGGCAAAACGAATATACCCCACAGACTGAAATACAATTAGGGAGAAAACGGAATCTGAGATGCCAGAAACAAACATACAAATGGGGTCATCATTTTGGGTAATTTTTGCCTCTGTCCTAATCAGGACACACATTTCACCTTCAGGGTTGTTTTTTCTTTAATATGAAAAAACATTATTTTAAAAGTAAATAAGAATGTTTTATAAAATATAGACAATAGAGAAAATTTAGCAGTTTAGTATGGTTTCTTTTTTTAAATATTTTTTCTGCAGGCTTGAATCTTGATTTTTTTTTTCCACGAGTTTTTTCATGGAATGCACAGTTTCCAGAATTATCATTTTCC